ATAACACGTCCTATTTTAGTGTCGTCAGGTTTACTTATGTTGGTGTCTATGCCGAAATCTATATCGTTTATGTATATAATAAACAAAAATAGTCCAAGTACTGAGCCTTGGGGTACTCCACGAGTGACGTTACTCCAATCGGATTTAGTGCCGTTAAATCACACTCGCTGTTTCGTGTCCTGAACCCACGCCTTAATCCATTTCAGAATATCTACTCCAATGCTGATAGGTATGTGTACATGTATAGAGACAGGTAGATGAACACACACACACACACACACACACACACACACACACACACACACACAGGGACCCAACAAGTTCCCTCCAAGCAGCTATATGGAGGTGAGAACGAGCTGTATTACCTCTCTCACAACCTCCAAAACACCCACCTACCTACCTTACCTTACCTTACCTTACCTTACCTTACCTTACCTTACCTTACCTTACCTTACCCTTCCTAGTCTTATCTCTCTCTCTCTCTCTCTCTCTCTCTCTCTCTCTCTCTCTCTCTCTCTCTCTCTCTCTCTTGTATTCTGAGTTTTAAATCATCGTATTCAAAGGGGTTAAATCACCATAATCCAGGGGTTAAATCACTATACTCAAAGGGTTAAATCACCATACTCAAGACGTTAAATCACCATACAAAGACGTTAAATCACCATACTCAAGAGATTAAATCACGATAATTAAGGGGTTAAATCACCATGTTTTGGAAATAACAGACCTAATTTTTTAACACAGATTAGATATACAATAATAAAAGTGAATACGAAGTTAATTAGCATATTGCCAGGTAGTCAAGGTGATCTATTTTCCACCATAAGCAACTGTGTCAGGTGTGAGGAGCAATTAGTGTCAGGTAAACCACAAGATGTCGCCATTAGACTAAAGCTCGGGTATTATACAGTTTTATACAATTTATACAGTTTTATACAGTATTATACAGTGTCTCTTTATACTGTATATACCTCTGGCAAGTCCCTCCCTTGTGTGGGTAGAGATAGGGACACACACACACACACACACACACACACACACACACACACACAATATATTAGTTTGTGAGAAAATCAAACCTTTTAAGGGGAGATCCAAATATATTCCGCGTGTAGGGCTAAGTTTAGGTTAGGTTAAGCTGGGTTAGGTTAAGTTGGGTTAGGTTAGGTTAGGTTGCTGGGTTGAATCGGCTGGGTAGGTTAAGCTAGGCTATGTTAGATTAAGCTGGGTTAGATTAGGCTGGGTTTGATTAGACTGGGTTAGGTTAAGCTGGGTTAGGTTAGGTTAGGCTGGGTTTGATTAGGCTGGGTTAGGTTAAGCTAGGCTATGTTAGATTAAGCTGGGTTAGATTAGGCTGGGTTTGGTTAAGCTGGGTTAGGTTAAGTTGGGTTAGGTTAGGTTAGGCTGGGTTTGATTAGGCTGGGTTGGGTTAGCTAGGCTATGTTAGATTGCTGGGTTAGATTAGGCTGGGTTTGATTAGGCTGGTTTAGGTTAGCTGGGTTAGGTTAGGTTAGGCTGGGTTTGATTAAGCTGGGTTTGATTAGCTGGGTTGGGTTAGCTGGGTTAGGTTAGGTTAGGCTGGTTTGTTAGGTTGAGCTGGGTTTGATTAGGCTGGGTTGGGTTAGCTGGGTTAGGTTAAGCTAGGCTATGGAGTAGCTGGAGTTAGATTAGCTGGGGTTGATTGGGCTGGGTTTGATTAGGCTGGGTTAGGTTAGCTGGGTTGGGGTTAAGCTGGGTTAGGTTAGCTGGGTTAGGTTAAGCTGGGTTGGGTTAAGCTGGGTTAGGTTAGGTTAAGCTGGGTTGAGTTAAGCTGGGTTGGGTTAAGCTGGGTTAGGTTAAGTTAGGTTAGGTTAAGCTGGGTTTAGGTTAAGTTAGGTTGGGTTAAGCTGGGTTAGGTTGGATTAAGCTGGGTTGGGTTAAGCTGGGTTGGGTTAAGCTGGGTTGGGTTAAGCTGGGTTAGGTTAAGCTGGGTTAGGTTAAGCTGGGTTGGGTTAAGCTGGGTTGGGTTAAGTTGGGTTGGGTTAGCTGGGTTGATTTAGGTTAGCTGGGTTAGGTTAGCTGGGTTGGGTTAGCTGGGTTGGTTAAGCTGGGTTGGGTTAGCTGGGTTGGAGTTAAGCTGGGTTGGTTGGGATTAGCTGGGTTGGGTTAGCTGGGTTGGGTTAGCTGGGTTGGGTTAGCTGGGTTGGGTTAAGCTGGGTTGGGTTAAGTTAGGTTAGGTTAAGCTGGGTTGGGTTAACTGGGTTAGGTTAAGCTGGGTTGGGTTAAGTTGGGTTGATTGATTGGTTGGGTTAGGTTGAGTTGGGTTAAGCTGGGTTAGGTTAAGCGTGGGTTAGGTTAAGTTAGGTTGGGTTTAGCTGGGTTAGGTTAAGCTGGGTTAGGTTAAGCTGGGTTAGGTTAGGTTGAGTTGGGTTAGGCGGGTTAGGTTAGGTTGAGTTGGGATTAGCTGGGTTAGGTTAGGTTAAGCTGGGTTAGGTTAGGTTAGGTATGAGTCAGTATTTGTCTGTGTTATCTTCACCTCTGTTCCTCTTTAGTTCCTTTTATTATTCATATCTGTCTGTGATTCTGGCTCCCTCACCTTCACCTAGCACCATCTTCACCTAGCACCACCCAGCCCTCACCTTCACCTAGCACCACCCAGCCCTCACCTTCACCTAGCACCATCTTCACCTAGCACCACCTTCACCTAGCACCACCCAGCCCTCACCTTCACCTAGCACCACCCAGCCCTCACCTTCACCTAGCACCACCTAGCACCACCTTCACCTAGCACCACCCAGCCCTCACCTTCACCTAGCACCACCCAGCCCTCACCTTCACCTAGCACCACCTAGCACCACCTTCACCTAGCACCACCCAGCCCTCACCTTCACCTAGCACCACCCAGCCCTCACCTTCACCTAGCACCACCTAGCACCACCTTCACCTAGCACCACCCAGCCCTCACCTTCACCTAGCACCACCCAGCCCTCACCTTCACCTAGCACCACCTAGCACCACCTTCACCTAGCACCACCCAGCCCTCACCTTCACCTAGCACCACCCAGCCCTCACCTTCACCCTAGCACCACCTAGCACCACCTTCACCTAGCACCACCCAGCCCTCACCTTCACCTAGCACCACCTAGCACCACCTTCACCTAGCACCACCCAGCCCTCACCTTCACCTAGCACCACCCAGCCCTCCTTCACCTAGCACCACCCAGCCCTCACCTTCACCTAGCACCACCCAGCCCTCACCTTCACCTAGCACCACCTAGCACCACCTTCACCTAGCACCCCAGCCCTCACCTTCACCTAGCACCACCTAGCACCACCTTCACCTAGCACCACAGCCCTCCACCTTCACTAGCACCACAATCCACCTACCTAGCACCACCCAGCCCTCACCTTCACCTAGCACCCCCAGCCCTCCACCTAGCACCACCTAGCACCACCTTCACCTAGCACCACCCAGCCCTCACCTTCACCTAGCACCACCCTCACCTTCACCTAGCACCACCAATCACCACCTTCACCTAGCACCACCCCTTCACCTAGCACCACCTAACACCACCTTCACCTAGCACCACCTAACACCACCTTCACCTAGCACCATCTTCACCTAGCACCACCTACCTAGCACCACCTAACACCACCTTCACCTAACACCACCTTCACCTAGCACCACCTAACACCACCTTCACCCTAGCACCACCACACCCACACTTACCTTGCACCACCTTCCTCTCACACCTTCACCTGCCCACCCCTACTTACATTACTAGCACCACCCAGCCCTCACCTTCACCTAGCACCACCCAGCCCTCACCTTCACCTAGCACCACCTAGCACCACCTTCACCTAGCACCACCCAGCCCTCACCTACCACCCTAGCACCACCTCCCTTCACCCTAGCACCACCAATCACCACCTTCCTAGCACCACCTTCACCTAGCACCACCTAACACCACCTTCACTAGCACCTAGCACCCTTCCTTCCATCTTACACCACTTTACCTAGCACTAACACCACCTTCACCTAACACCACCTACTAGCACCACCTAACACCACCTTCACCTAGCACCACCTAACACCACCTTCACCTAGCACCATCTTCACCTAGCACCACCTTCACCTAGCACCACCCTAACACCACCTTCACCTAACACCACCTTCACCTACAACCGACCCCTCACCTTCACCTAGCACCACCCAGCCCTCACCTTCTAGCACCACCTAGCACCACCTTCACCTAGCACCAGGCCTCACCTTCCCTACACCACCCTCACCTTCACCCTAGCACCACCAATCACCACCTTCACCTAGCACCACCTTCACCTAGCACCACCTAACACCACCTTCACCCTAGCACCACCTAACACCACCTTCACCTAGCACCATCTTCACCTAGCACCACCTTCACCTAGCACCACCTTCACCTAACACCACCTTCACCTAGCACCACCTAACACCACCTTCACCTAGCACCACCTAACACCACCTTCACCTAGCACCACCTAACACCACCTTCACCTAGCACCATCTTCACCTAACTCACCTTCACTAGCACCACCTAACACCACCTTCACCTAACACCACCTTCACCTAGCACCACCTAACACCCAAAAGCTTCGATAATAATTGAAGCTTTATACAGTATGCTATGTATATATCGGTGATGACAGGTGATTAAGTACATCTAATTACTCACAGGTATTTACCAGGTGTTAGCTGTCATGGCGGCTGTGGGAAGACTGATGGTGTGTGTGTGTGTGTGTGTGTGTGTGTGTGTGTGTGTGTGTGTGTGTGTGTGTGTGTGTGTGTATGGGGGTATGAGATGTTGTGGTAAATCTCTCTCTCTCTCTCTCTCTCTTTTTTTGCTCTGTTCTTTATACCTATTTTATCCATGATTATTATTTTTTTACCAAACACAAATTATTCGTAACATAATAATGATAATGTGATGGAAATTTAAGGTGTATTATAATCAGGTGTTAAGAGACGGTCAGTGAGGTGATAGATGTGGTTTTCTTGTTTCAGGTGATGGGTAACAGAGACGTACACACGGCCAGTGATTTGGACTTGTACCTGGAGGACTATGGCTCAGGCGATGGTCCGGACTTGGTGGAGGGGCCTGGATTGACCCATATCGATCATGAGGGTTCAGGACACGGTAGTCGGGATCACCCTTACGGCGCCACCTACGATGACACGGAAGATGATGACTACTACGATGAATACGATGCTAGATATACCCCCGATGATGATGACTCATTCCACGAAGGATCCGGTACAAGTGAGTATCCCCTCTTAATGTGTCAGGGTTTTCTTTGAAGTATGGTGTTGGTTTTCTGTTCTCATTTTCAGGGGTAACTAAGAGAAAACGAGGAATTATACGTTATTTTCCTGGCTTCTTAAATACGTGAAATTTAACATGCAAAGACTGATGTATTGTAATGTTATTTTAATGTGAACTGTATTTAAATTGGAACTAAAAGTTATATTTCCCTAGAATTAGAAAATATTTGGACGACTATGCTCTAGGTAGAACTTCACAATATAGATACTGGACACTTTATATATCTGGTCATACACTATCTGGTAAAATATCGTGTTGACATTTGATTCCGCTTTTAGACGTGTGAAAACGACGATGGGTGGAAGATAATTGGATATTGTTTCAAAATGGTGACTTCTGAAACTTGGAGATGTGTAAAAAAAATGAATAATAATAATTAACGGTTTATTAAGATAATATGGCAACCCAAAGGCTGAAAATATACACTGAACAGAGATCATAAGTTACATATGGTGGAATCGGGGAGTGGGTCACTTGATTGACAAAAGCTCTCAGTGTGTGTGTGTGTGTGTGTGTGTGTGTGTGTGTGTGTGTGTGTGTGTGTGTGTGTGTGTGTGTGTGTGTGTGTGTGTGTGTGTGTGTGTGTGTGTGTGTGTGTGTGTGTGTGTGTGTGTGTATATAGTGTTTTTGGGCCTCAACATCAATGTCCTACTAACTTTGAAACCTTAATTGACACATAATATTTTCACACTGACCCATAAACACTATAAATGACACACACACACACACACACACACACATAACGACAACTTTTAAGCCCCTGAGTGCATGGTTTTTAGTGTTTTGCAGTACTAAAAGTTTCGTAATTACGTTCTATTTGCACGTTTTCCTTTTAAACGATCCCAGATCATTATTTTTTTCCATTTTTGTGTGTCAGGATATAACAAACTTACTCGTGGTCATTTATGTCCAGCTGGTGTTATATATTGAGGATTTCTGGTGTACATAAGATTTATCATTAGAGTATTCCTTAGAAATAGTCCCATTTTCTTCTATTAATATTTGCCCGTTTTCTTTGATGTGAACCTTGTAAATATTTCCCAAGCCTTACCAGCTGTTTTACCTTTTGGGATCTACAGTAGTTTTGCTTGACAGTTTTGTATTCTGTGTAGTATTGTAATGCCCCTCACGTTCCAAAAACACCGAAACACCTTCAGAATTGTAAAATAAGTAAATATATTATTGTCTCACCATTACAACCGATAGTGGTGAACATATTTATAGTTATTACGAATATTAATTAACCTTCCCCCCATCCGGACCTGATCTTGAATATAACCCAGCCTTACCCAGGTTCGATTAGGGTATAAAATAAATGTTTAGTATATAAGTCAGTAGGGTATATTGACCAATCAATAGCCTCGGTGTATAGGTCAGTAGGTTATATTGACCAATCATGAGCCTCGGTGTATAAATAAGTACCTTATATTGACCAGTCATGAGCCTCGGTGTATAGGTCAGTAGGTTATATTGACCAATCATGAGCCTCGGTGTATAAATAAGTAGGTTATATTGACCAGTCATGAGCCTCGGTGTATAAGTCAGTAGGTTATATTGACCAATCAAGAGCAACGATGCTTTTATTTAGGTCAGTGACGGGGCTTATCCGATTAAAAGCTGAATTTGTTTAAACTTTAACCATTTATCAGAGAGGAAGGTTCGTTCTACCGCTTTGTGTTGAAATTGTGTGTATAACGAATTTTGTTTGAGCTTCATTCAACCTGTGTGTCGCTTGGTCTAAGGACGTCCCGTATATTCGACTACACTAATCGGCTCTGCAGTGTGTTGCTTTTCACCGCTGCAGCACCTGAGCCGATTACACTTACCTGGAAATTATGCGGTGATACTTAGTGTGTACCGTGTAAGGGTTGTTATTGTGTGTGTGTCTCTTAAACCTGAAAATTGTGTGGCCAGATTATTGCAGGAGGCCAGGGATTCGTATACTCTCGAGGCCAGGGTTAGGCTTTTGAGGCCGGGCTCTCCTGGGGAGCTGGGTGCTCTCAAGGGCCGGGTGCTCTCAAGGGCCGGGTTCATCTGAGACTGTTATTATATTATGCTGTGAATGTTACGTTTCGCATTTTTGTAGAATAGACGTGTGTGTGTGTGTGTGTGTGTGTGTGTGTGTCCTCCTCTTCCCACAAGGCCCCGAGACAAGCAATTTGGTTGTTTGGTTAGTTGTTGAGTTGGTTGTTTGCTGAGTTAGTCACGCAACCACATCAGAAAATTCACAACCAATTTTTTTTTCGTATGTGTGTTTAATATGAGTTTTTATTAAGGATATCCCTATAGTCATTCGCATAGTATTATATAAGACAGTGTGGTGGTGTAAGGGTGACAGATGAACATAGAGTGAAGGATAAGGAGTGTAAGGGTAAAAATATGACAGGTGTTATTGGAGAGTATTTACAGAATGGAAAAAAAAAAGTTACATAATTAAAGTTACAAAATGGAAAAAAAAAATTATAGAATGAAAATATTACAGAATTAAGAAAAAAAGTTAGAGTAAAAACTTAGAGAAATTACCTCACACATTTAATTGGTATTCATGGACAAAGAGTGTACACATGCTCTACAGGAAGTGCTCACGGGATACACACAAAGTCAGTATTATTTGTTGCAGCTGTCGACCCCGGGTTCAGCTCTCCTCTTATTCGGGTTCAAACACTCCCTACATTCTACCGACCCCGGTTCAGATCTCCTCTTATTCGGGTTCAACACTCCCCACATTCTACCGACCCCGGTTCAGCTCTCCTCTTATTCGGGTTCAAACCTCCCTACATTCTACCGACCCGGGTTCAAATCTCTTCTTATCCGGGTTCAAACACTCCCCACATTCTACCGACCCCGGGTTCAAATCTCTTCTTATCGGGTTCAAACACTCCCCACATTCTACCAACACGCGTAGCCTATGCACGCAATAAACCACCTTTACACACCCTAGGAAAATTTAACTATGCTATTATAAGCATAGTTAACTGCAGCATTTAACACTGAATACAAATTTAACATGAGAAGAAAAAGACCCACGAATTTACGGTAATCACGTTTTAAATTAACAGACAGGGGTTGATAGATGACGTCACCACACAGACGGGGGTTGGGAGATGACGTCACCACTTACAGACGGGGGTTGGAGATGACGTCACCACTTACAGAACAGGGGTTGGGAGATGACGTCACCACTTACAGACCGGGGATTGGAGATGACGTCACCACTTACAGACCGGGGTTGGGAGATGACGTCACCACTTTCAGACCGGGGGTTGGGAGATGACGTCACCACTTACAGACGGGGGTTGGGAGATGACGTCATCATTCACCAACGGTATAATAGTCTAGTCATTATGGAAGTATATACACATTAAGCCCCGCCCACGTTCTTTCATGTAGGGCCTGTGATTGGCTGTCTAGATATTGACCACACCGTTGTGAGTTCAGCCATTTAACATAACTTTTTTTTATAACGTTATTGGTAAAAAGAAATATATTGGTGTTTCTTCCTCAAAGTTTTCATAATAATTAATTAGATGGTGATTAATTAAGGTGATTGAAGGATTAGATGGTGATTAATTAAGGTGATTGAAGGATTAGATGGTGATTAATTAAGGTGGTTGAAGGATTAGATGGTGATTAATTAAGGTGATTGAAGGATTAGATGGTGATTAATTAAGGTGGTTGAAGGATTAGATGGTGATTAATTAAGGTGATTGAAGGATTAGATGGTGATTAATTAAGGTGGTTGAAGGATTAGATGGTAATTAATTAAGGTAGTTGAAGGATTAGATGGTGATTAATTAAGTTATTGAAGGATTAGATGGTGATTAATTAAGGTGATTGAAGGATTAGATGATGATTAGGATGATGAGAAGGATTAATTAGAAAGTAACAGGGAGGTACTTACCGCCTGGGAATATTGGAAGCATAATGTGTTGTCTAATGGTAGACCCTGCTGCTATATGGCATCACAAATATTGTGACCAAGTCCCAGGTTGTTGATCTGACTTTCTGCCTCATTTACACAATTGCAGGGTCTCAATTGTTTCTCTTACTTGACAACACAACACAACATACATATATTGTTTCTCACTATTGATCTTTTTTTTTATTTTTATTTCTTTATGGTTTATTATTATTATTATTATTATTATTATTATTAGTAGTAGTAGTAGTAGTAGTAGTAGTAGTAGTACATTTGCCCCCAGACCCTGATGTGGGTCAGTAACCTGTGCCCGGGTAGGCTAATCACATAAACAAATAAAAAATAAATATGGCTCTGTCGGCTCTCCGTGGCTCAAATTACCTTACCGTTTATTATTGTTGTATACCTGCACTGATTAGGTACACGTATGTATGAATTGTCTATATCCATGTTGAACTGTATACCTGAATAGTCTTTATACATACATGCTAAATCAATTATTATTTACTTTATTATTATTATTATTATTATTATTATTATTATTATTTTACTATGGCCTAATCGTTTATATATATACTGTATTATATTGTGGTATATTTAGTATTTTTCTTCGTTAAGTTTTATACCACGACACCGAATTTGTTTTGAAAATATTCCCCCCAACAACGGGATCTGATGTTTAATGTAGGTAAATGTTTAAAGAGCCGGCAAAGGTGAGGAAATTACAAGGTATTTTTTTTTCTGCCGGTTCATCATGCTATTACCGCCACGACTCCGTTATGCTGAACCTGGTGTGGGGGGGGGGGGGTTGAGGTAAATACTGTTAAAAATTAATAATGAAATGGTGATAAATTACGTATGGATAACAAGGGAGTAAGGATAGTGTAGTGATTGAGTCTTGAGAGAGGAAACTGATCTATCGTCAGGTTTTCTGTTTTTGTTTCCCCCACTGAACCCCTAATTCATTTTTACTTCCCTTCCCCCTTCACTTTTCACCGTTCTCCTCCTTACTTCTTAT